TGTTGTTGTTTTTCTTTTTGAGACAGGGTCTACTGTGTAGTTCAGGCTGGCCTTGAACTCATTATGTAGCCCATGCCAGTCTCAAACTCATGGTGATCCTCCCGCCTCAGCCTCCGAAGTGCTGGGGTTACAGGCATGTGTCACCACACCCAGCAGGAGGTACCTCGAAAGTCATTTGAACTGAGCATAGAAGTACCCCGCTGTACTTGCAGTACTATAGAAAGCTGAGGCAGGAGTTTCAAAAATTCGCCAGCCTGGGCAATTTAACAATTTTGTATGAGGCTGGTATGGTTTCTATCTAAATGTCCCCCAAACCTCCCTTGGTCGTAGGTGGGGCTTTGGAAGGGTGATTGGATGGGGACACAGCACTGGGGACCCTAGGAGAAGGGCACATCTCCTTCCTCTCTGCTTCTTGTGGCCACGCCTTAGCCCCGGGCCATGCTGTCCTGCCTTGTACCAGCAGCCCAGTAAGCTTCTTGCGCGTGCTGCCAGTTATTGCATCAGTGATGAGCAAGTGACCGCGACCCTGTCTCAAAATAAAAAATAAAAATAACGCGGCCCAGAGGTTGGCCGCCTCCAACACAGAACAAAACAAGATGCCTTTGTGCGACAGTCTCGCTCGGAGGAGACTGGTCGTGGGAAGCGCCAAGGAGCAGATTCGCCTCCTAGGCCCGCCCAGGGGTCTGCAGGAAATATAGCCCCTGCGGAGGGACAAAAGGGGACGGGGCTCTAGGGCAGTGGCCGTTGCCGTTCTCTTCGACCCACCCTGCGCATGCAACAGCAAGCAGAATCACCGAAGCGACACCCAGGACCGGAGGGGCACTGGCTGGGAGCCAGCTGTCCCTCAAAGTGTCAGGCCCCAGTCGCTGCTGGTCTAGGGCTTATATAAGCAAGCAGCACGTAGGCGCAGAAGGCTTGTCGCTTGGGGATTGGTTGGGACAGCGCGCATCACGGCGAGCGGCGTGGCAGCTGGATCTGGAGCAGGAACCATCAGCTGCGCCACCAGCGACTGGAGCACACTGGGGGGGGGGGTCGGGGGGCATCTCCTGCGACCTCCCTGCTGCGCGGAGCTTGGCCGGAGCTCCCCTCACCCCGCTCCCAGCAAAGGGGTGCGGTGCGCTGCCGGGGGACGCCGCGAGGGGGCGGCAGTCTGAGAAAGCGCATGCCCAATGAACGAGCAGCGTCCTTTTCTTACTTAGTTGCTTTCCAATTCGTTTTTTCCAAAGAACATTTCCAATATGCTCTTGTTGTTTTTGCTCATAAGCGATTCCCACATGAGTGAATCAGCTGGGAGACTGAGTCGAGTGATGAGGACAAAGCCAGGGCTGGTAAAAACCAAAAGTGGGGGAAGGCAGCCGGGCGTGCTCACTGCTCACCCCAGCGCTGAGGCTGAGGCGGGAGGGTCTCTGCAGGCCCGCCTGGGCCGCACAGTGAGTCCAAGGCCACCCTGGACGCCATCGGGAGACCGCGCCTTAAACATGACAACAAAACAGAAGCGAGGGCAGGGAGAGGAAGAGACAAGCAGGTTCGACCTGCGCAGCTCACTGCGGGACCCTCGCGGGGACCTCCGAGGACACAGAACGCCCTGCCCTCCGACGCGCCCGCGCCGGGCCTGCCCCTGCGCCCCCCAGCCTCTCTCCTCCCGGGGTTCCGCCTGGGTCTGCGTAAAGCTGTCCGCTGCCGTGGGGCAGGCACTCTGACGTCAGTGGTCCAGGGACAAGGGAGATCGGCGACCCACTTCTTCGCCAGCGGCAGGTGGTAGCCCCTGGCCCTGGCGTGAACTGCGGAGTGGTCACGGTGGTCCTCTGGACAGGTTCGGCCCTGGAATGAATTGCTGAAGTCGTTATGGCGGTCATCTAATACGGCTGATGCCCTTCAAACAAAGGCCCACCTGCCCCTTCTTCTCCAGCTCAGCCCAGGACGTAACTTCCTATCACTCGTCCCGCCACCCCAGGAAGACCCCCACTCAGCTCCTCAGCTGTATCTAAACATCACCTTCAAACCGCTCCCCTGGTAAAAGGCCATACAGCCTCCCTTTGTCTAGTCCAAAGAGTCTCTGATCTTCCCCAAATTCGCTCCGTGTCCTCAAAGAAAAGAAAGCCCCTTTCTCCTCTTCCTTCTGCCTGTTTCTCTGCTGCGCCGCAAACCTATCACATCTAACATGGCCAAGCCCTTAAGACAACAGCTAATCTTCCCAGGGACTGCTTGCTCCTCCTTCCCACTGCAGCCCTGGATGCAGTGTCCTCTCGCCTTCCCTGTGCAGCCGTCCTTCAGGGACAGAACAAAGCCCTGTTTTCATCCTATGGGGCAATTCTTCCTCAGAACTCAGCACAATGCAAAGCTACAGAAGCAAAGGCAGCAGTTAAAAGGAAACCAGCAGCGGTCCAGCAGGCAGGAACTTCAGAGGAGCCTTTCCAGGCCGCTGTGCCCCGCTGACGTTGACTTTGTACCGGCCTGTACTCGACCCAGGTCAAAACCACCCATCTGTCAGGGAGCCCAGCCAGGCCAACCTCGCAAAGCAGCTCGGCTGTACAGTTAACCCACAGCCGTCCAGCTTCACCCCAGGAAGGGGTCGCCTCTCCCAGAGGGTGTAGGGAGCAGCCTTGCTTTGGGCTGGGCCCCCATTCACATTAGAACTTCTTTTCTGTAAATTTCCATCCTGAATTTCTTCCAGGATTAAGCCCCTGGGGGGAACCCACTGACTCTCCGCAAAGAACAAGGAAGACATTTGGCAGCTCCAAAGTAACCACTCAGAAAACTGTGATAAGCACCACCGTCCCCAGCTGGCTGCTTATCAAAGTCATTTTTGGTTCATCTATTGCCATGCATTTTTGGCTTCTATTTCAGAAGGCATTTTATTTTATTATTTTATTTTTAATTTTATTTATGTATGTGTGTGTGGCCAGCTCAGCCCACCAGGGGGCGGGGCTGGCTGGCATGTGGTGCTGGGGGATTGAACCGCGGTCCCTGTGCTTTGCTGAGCTTGTTCTAAGTAGGTGCTTTAGACCACTGAGCCATCTCACCAGCCCCTCAGAAGGCATTTTAAAAGGTTGAGTGATCATGCTATCCCCAAATCTACATTGCTGCTTATTTATTTAGGGTGTTTTCTTTTAGACAGGGTCTCCTTATGTAGTTCAGGCTGCCCTTAAGTTCACTATGTAGTCCAAGCAGTCCTTGAACTCGTGGCAAGCCTCCTGCCTTAGCCTCCAGAGTGCTGGGGTCACAGGCTTGCAAAACCACACCTGTCAACCTCTTATTAATTTCCATAAATGAATTGCTTCAGCGTTTGCATGCTTTTATTTATTTATTTATTTTTCCCGGGGGGGGGGATTGAACTCAGGCCCTTGTGCTTGCCAGGGAAGGGCTTATTCTACTGAGCCATCTCCCCAGCCCCGCTAAAAAAATGTATTTAAAAGCGGCGACGCTCGGCTGTGATTCCAGCTCTAGAGAGGCTGAGGCAGGAGGATCGCAAGCAGCTGGAGGCAGCCTGTATATAT